GTCCCACATTGGGCTCCCAGCTCTTTGGGGAGTCTGCTTCTCCCTCTGGCCCTCTCCCCTGTCATGCTGTTTCTCTCACTCTAATAAAAAAATAAAATCTTAAAAAAAAAAGGTGTACAGAAATGTGAAGATAGAGAGGTAGAAGGATACATACATACATACATACATAGACAGACAGATAGACACATACACACATAAGAAAATAAGCAACTATGATCACCAATCTAAATCTGTTCTAGTGATATAAAGCCTTCCAGCCAAGGTAGATTAGCAAACACTTCACAAAACTTGCTGTGAAATGTCAAGCTCTAGAACCAGGTAAAGATCTTCATTGCGACTCTTCAGAGTCCTTATCAACATCGTATTTGCCTGATGGGCCATTCCCATCTGTCATAAAGTGACATCATTTTTGTCCCATCAAAGGTCAGGACAAAAGTCTCTCCAGGGGCGAAGGTGTTCATTCTCGCCCCAGGCTCAAGCCCATTAATGCTCTCTTGGCAAGACCAGTCATGCAGCCAGAGCGCACCAGGCCAGAGCAGTTTCTGTAAGGAAGGTTGAAGAAAGGCTCCCCGGCACAGGGAAACAGTCTGCAGCAGAGAAACCCCAACCACAAAAACTGAGAAATGGAAGCCACATGGTAGAATCAGGGCCACCGTGGGAGGGAGAGACCAAGTAAGCAGAGCAGACACGGTTGCAAGAGAAAGCGCCAGACTAATCATGGAGACAAGACTTGTCCACAAATGCAGGAGGGCCCCCTCCTGCTATCAAAGGAGAGCATCTACTTAAAACCAGTCTGTAGGGTGGGAGGCCCACTACCCTGTTTGAGAAATGACCAAAGCCTCAATATAGTTGAAAAGTGGCCATAAGCATTCTAGGAATCTTTCAGCACTTCTGCCATTACTATCTGGCTGGTGTTTTGTTTTTCTTGTTTTTGTTTTTTTTTTGAGTGTACACAATGTAACACAATGATACACACTGTTACACTAGTTTCAGGTGTACAACATAGGGATTCTGCAAGTTTCTGTACCATGCTATGCTCCCAAGTGTAGCTATCACCTGTTGCCATACAACGCTATTATAATACCACTGACCCTATGCTGTACCCTTCACCTGTGACTTATTCATTCCATAACTGGAAGCCTATGTCTTCCCCTCCTCTTCAGGTGTTTCATCCATCCCCCCACCCTCTCCCCTCTGGCATCTGGCAGTTTGTTCTCTGTATTTATGGGTCTGATTCTGCTTTTTGTTTATTTATTTATTTGTGGGGTTTTTTGATTCCACATATAAATGAAATCATACAGTATTTGTCTTTCTCTGCCTGACTTATTTCACTAGCATAATACCCTCTAGGTCCATCCATGTTGTCCCAAATGGCACAATTTCATCCTTTTCTATGGCTGTGTGATATTCCATTCGCTATCAATATAGACCCTATCTTCTTTATCTATTCATCTATTGATGGACACTTAGCTGCTTCCATGTCTTGGCTATTGTGAATAATGCTGCAGTAAAGATGGAGGTGCATGTGTCTTCTTGAGTTTTTGTTTTCTTCAGATAAATATCCAGAGGTGGAATTGATGGATCTTATGGTAGTTCTGTTTTTAATTTTTTGAGGAACTTCTATACTGTCTTCCAGAGCGGCTGCACCAATTTGCATTCCCACCAACAGTACACGAGGGTTCCTTTTTCTCCACATTCTTGCCAACACTTCTTATGTCTTGTCTTTTTTATTCTAGCCATTCTGACTGGTCTTTTAATATCTAGAGTTCAAATCAGGTCTTCTTGTTAGAAGGGGAATTTAATCTGAAAGTGTACTGCTATCTTTTTAGATATCCCTGAGGCCAAAGTGTCCTGGCCCAAGGTCCAAATGCTACAGGCCTGGTACAGTTTGGGTTGGACAGTAAGTTCAGGTCCCATCCCAGTTATTCTGGTTGTATAACCTGAGTCACGCAATCCGCTTAGCTTTGCCTTAGTTTCTTCATCTGTCAAAATGGAGAATGCAGGACTTTAAAGAGTTTAATCCTGTGTCTTGTAACTACTACATAGTATGTCAATGCAGGTGCAAAGAAAAGCAAAAACCAAAAGTAACAAGGGAGAAGCTTATTTCCAGCAGATAAAAGGCAGGACGTGGGTAGTACAGAACTGGAGTGGAAGCACCTGCTCAAGGTTTGCAGAGCCCCAAGTGCCCTGCAACTCACCCCTCTGACATCCCCAGGATGGGGCCCTGGCATTCATGGCCCAGCTGGAACCATCCACACAAAAAGGCAGCAGGACATAGGGGAAAAATGAAAGGAACAAGGAGCACCAGCCATCCCTTAAGGGACATTCCCAAGCTGCCCCACTTAGGGCACCACATCTATTTATATTTCGATTGGCCAGAATCTAGTTAGTGGAAATGCAGCCTCTTTTCGGGGTGGCTATACGTTCAGCTATAATTCTGTAGAAGGGAAATACCACAAATAGATGGGGGGAATGGTTTCAGTAATTTCTTATGTTTTAGAAATTGTACGGTCTAGAAACTGAATGAAAGGAATACATTAAGAAAGAAAGAAAGGAGAAAGAAAGAAGGAAAGAAAGAAAGAGAGAGAGAAAGAAAGAAAGAAAGAAAGAAAGAAAGAAAGAAAGAAAGAAAGAAAGAAAAGAAAGAAAGAAGAAAGAAAGAAAGAAAGAAAGAAAGAAAGAAAGAAAGAAAGAAAGAAAGAAAGAAAGAAAGAAAGAAAGAAAGAAAGAAAGAGAACCTCTGTTTATCTGTACTCTCTGCAACACCCACTGGGGATCTGTAGTTGCTTGAGCAGCATGGAAAGTGCAGGATCGAAGCCCAGGCACAAGGGACTCCAGGCTCAATAATCTGCCCTTCGGAGGATCTCAAGCCAGAACTGAGTACACCCAGCAAATAACACTAACTAGAGAAATTAAGTGGCTGCTTAGAAATACTCATACACAACACCACAACATTGTCACCCACTCAGTAGAGTGACAAGCTTGCATTTAGAACACAATATTGGTTGTAGTTCAGTGTCCTAAGGTATGTAGTCATCTGTATTAATGTATCTACTTAATATGAATTGCTAAGTAGATGTAAAGAAACAAGGAGCTAAGGAGTAATTATGGACCACCATTTCAGGCCCTAGGACTCCAATTTGAAAAGAAGTGATAAAATAAAGCCAAGCAATGTCTCAAGGGTTATTTTTCCAGCACCAATCAACACCCACAATACCCCCATTATTCCTGTTGGAAAATCCTCCAATGGGAAACATTGTTCTTCCTGAACATGTTAAAAAGCCAAGGTGTACACTCTACTAGGGGTAAAATAATCCCATTACATGTTACAAAATACGTCCAGAAATGCCCTTGTCACCACTTCCACCTACTTTGCCCTACCCCCAAAACACACACACACACACACACACACACACACACACACACACACACACACATATCCCTTCCTCTTCCTTGAACTTAAAAAAGGCAGGCCCCTTCCTTGTGCTCCACAAGTTTCAGATTCTGCCACCAGGTGGCAGGAATAATCAAGAATTAGCAGGAATTACCAAGAAGGTTGGGCCGCTCCTCCTGGAACCAGAAAATGTCAGGATTCTGGAAGAGATCACAAGAACACGCAATCAAAACTGTAGTATAGATGGGCAGACTGGGACTGATAAGATGTGACCTACCCAGCATCACACATGTAATTAGGGGCCCCAAAGACCAGCCCCCTCATTTACCTGTGTCTTGTATTTCCACCAACTCATGCTGAGTTTTATTTTTAACTTTTTGTTAGGGAAATTTTCAGCGTCCGTGAAAGTGAGATTCGTAAAATGAGTCCCTAAGTGGCCACCAGACAGCTTCTGCAACTAGCAACACTTTGTCATCTTTCCATACTGTACACAGCGCCCCCTACTGTATTTGTTACCAAATACTCAGATGTACCACATGGCCACACCCGTTAATGCAACATTAAAATCATTGTGGTTCATTCATCCAACAAAGAACTGTTAGCATCTCCTAAGTGTGGAGGACTGTGCTAAAGTAAGATATACAGCCGTAACCAAAAGGTCAGTATGGTAACAAGGCTTTCATGCATAAATCATGCGTGTGCTGGAAGTTAGATTTTATTCATGCTTTATACGCTCTCGTGTTTCGATAGATAGAAAATGCAACCCAGGTCAGAACTGTCATTCTTTTATAGCTCCTTGGGGCCAGTCAGAGATCTAAAGTTAAAATCAAAGTCATACACTTGTTCTTTCAAAGACAAGGTCACAGCTGACAGGCCTAGCAGTGAACATTTCCTAAAAAGCTATAGGGACCTACCTGACACGGTTTATCTATCTTGTTGCCTTACTTGGAATGAAGTAACTGAGGAAGGCAAGTTCGGATGAGATGGGAGAAAGACTGGACCCCCCCCCCCCGCCGGCCCTCACGAAAGGTAAAAGAGAAATGAGCCAGGTGTCTGTCACATCTCGGAACAGCCGCTCAGAGGCGAGGACATTCCTCCAAGAATACAGCTTACTCACTTCCTTAAAGTAAAATCACCACAGCCTGACAAAAGAAGGCATTTTTCTTATTCTCATTACTACCAGAGGTTGCTTTAAACTAAACAAAACACATTTTAGCATCTCAAAATCCAACAACTAAGAAGAAAACTATCTGGCCTACATTTCACTTTATTTTATACATTGGAAGCCTGTGTTATGTGACACACCCTAGTCTCAACTCTGCTTATTATAAAGTCACATGACTTAGACGGGGGCGCCTGGTCCTCCTCTCTCTCTTTCTCAGGCTGGACCACACCATTCCCTCTATCAGAGCAGAGCAAAACAGAAATCATCTGTCTCCTTCTGAGCCCAAGATTCACTGGTTCTTTCTTTATTCAGCTGACGCATCTGAACACCTCATCTTTGCCGCCCCATCCCTCAAAAGTCTTCTAGGTCCCGTTTCTTGAAATAACATTTGGGTTTTTTGGTTCTGAAATTGTATTTTTGCAATCTGTACTTTTTTCTTAGAATGAAGATGACTTTGACGAAAGCCAGAACACATCTGGAAACAACTCACTAAGGTGTAGAGTTGTGCAGAACAGAGAACACAAAGCCGCCAAGCAGGTACTCCGGTGATGCTTGAGTGAATCTATTACCATGGTAACCGCTGTGCAACAGGGATTGAGAGCTGTGGGGACAGAAAGCGGGCGCTCCGCTGGCACTCATAGGAATGAATTAAATGGTAATTAGGATGTGTAAGGCAGAGTCGTGAAGAAAACACACATGCTCAAACAAAGAAATCTTGTGTTGATACACCTGTCCCGAGAGTTTTCCGCTGGGGAGAGTACGTAGGCTTTCTCTGGACACTTCACTAGTACAGATTCCAAGCTCCATCCTAAAGCAAAAAGCACTGGCTTAAACCAAAGCGTCTCAATTTTAAAGCAAGTGAGGCAGATGAAGAAGGTTCTAAGATATGGTTCTAAAACTGTCCATCATGCCCTAGGGTTCCCCAGGGACACCTAAGTTTACAGCAGACTGAGGCACTCTGTCACAAGGCCACTTTTATTTTTTTATATATATATTTAATTCTGGGCAGGAGATCATTTGAAGAAAGCCTTCTGCTGCTAAAAATCCAGCAGATTATCCATGTAGACCATCCTTTTTTTTTTTTATTTTTTTTTGGTAATTCTGGGTGCCGACTATCAAGCCATTTATTGGAGGGAGTTATTCTCATGATAAAAAGAATAACTTGTTTGAAATAGAAAATGTGATAAATTATTGTAGCAAACTTTGGAAGATAAAAAAAAATTACCTATATAATTCCAGAAAAAAATCAGTGCCTAACATCTTAAAATATGGCCTTTTAAGGCAAATATACACCCACGTGCCCATGTCATGGGCCATGTACGTTCATCGACTGCAACAAATGTACCGCTCTGGTAGAAGACGGTGCTAACGGGAGAAGCTACGCATGAGCTGGGGCAGTAGGTACATGGGAAATTTCTACTTTCCCCTCAGTTTTGCTGGGAACCTGCAACTGCTCTTTAAAAAATGAAGTCTTTTTTTTTATTGTTTCAAAAAACAATCAAAAACAAAAAAAATTAAATACTTTACTGTTATAAATAAGAATATAAAGAACAAGGAGGAGCCACTGGATTTGGCAACAATGGTCCTTGGATGACCTTGGCAGCAGTCATCTCAGTAGAAGTCTGAGTGAGTAGGATGTGAGGGTCACTAAAAGTAAAGGCAATTCTTTCAAGTGGTTTGTGTGTGAAGGGAAGGAGGGAGGGTAGATGTCCCATGACTATGGGGTCAAGAAGATTCTGTTGTTGTTATTGTCAGTTTTGGTTTGTTTAAAGATGGAGACAGGTACTTGCTTTGGCAGCACATATACTAAAACTGGAACGACAGAAAGAAGATTAGCATGGCCCCCGGACAAGGATGACATGCCTATTTGTGAAGCATTCCCTATTTTTAAAACCAAAAAAACATAAGCCAGTTAAAAAATGGGCAGAAGGCATGAATAGACATTTCTTCAAAGAAGACATCCAGATGGCCAACAGACCCATGAGAAGATGCTCAACATCAGTCAGCATCAGGGAAATGCAAATCAAAACCACAATGAAATATTACTGCATACCTGTCAGAATGGCCAAAATCAAAAACACAAGAAACGACAAGTGTTGGCAAAGATGGGGAGAAATAATGAATCGTTGAACACTACATCAAAAACTAATGATGTGCTATATGCTGGCTAACTGAACTAAATAAATAAATAAGTTAATTAATTAATTAATAATTAATTAAATTTCTTAAAGAAGATGGGGAGAAAAAGGAACCTTCGTGCACTGTTAGTGGGAATGCAAACTGGTGCAGCCACTGTGGACAAGAATATGGAGGTTCTTCAAAACTTTAAAAAATAGAACTACCCTGTCCGCTGGGTATTTACCCAAAGAATACAAAGGGATACATGAACCCTTATGTTTATTGCAGCATTATCTACAATAGCCAAACTATGGAAGCAGTCCAAGTATCCATCGATAGATGAATGGATAAAGAAGAGGTGATATATATATATATATATATATAGGAATATTATTGGGCTATAAAAAAGAATGAAATCTTGCAATTTGCAACAACATGGATGGATCTAGAGAGTATAATGCCAACTGGAATAAGTCAGTCGGAGAAAGACAAATACTATATGATCTCACTCATATGTGGAATTTAAGAAACAAAACAAATGAAGAAGAAAAGAGATAAACCGAAAAACAGACTTAACTATAGAGAGGTGGTTACCAGAGGGGAGGTGGATGGGGGGGTGGGTGAACTAGGGGAAGGGGGATTAAGAGCACACTCATATGATGAGCACTGAGTCATGTAGAGAATTGTTGAAGACTATATTGTACACCTGAAATTAATATAAAACTGTATGTTAATTTTATTAAAATTAAAAATTTTTAAAGAAAAAAGTGTACCAATCTGATAGGTAAAAACAAACAAACAAACAAATAAATAAAGATGGGAACTATTTGGGGGTGGAAAAAGAACAGTTAATGCCAGACATTCCATAGGCAGTAGGTAACTTCAAATTTCACTGTAAGAAAATAATAATTATGATTATTTAAATAAAATATTTGTCAAACTTTAACATATTGGCTAAGCTAGGTGTTAGATGGGAATGAAATGAATAAGGCTCCTGTATACCCCTGTCCTCAGCAGCTGCAGCTTGGACTCCACTGGCCTCTTTTTCTATTACCCTCCACCTTCCTAATTCCTTGGATCCAGCCCAGAAAATGAAGGTAGTCTAAATGAAACATGTAATGGAATTTGGCATCAAAGGACTATATGATCTTTGAGAATCCTTTTAGCTCAGAGACATGCTTATGACTTAATTTATTTTATTTTATTATTATTTTTAGAGCGGGGGTTGGCTAAAGGGAGAGAGAGAATCTTAAGCAGGCTCCACGCCCAGTGCAGAGCCCAATGCAGGGGTCAGTCTCACAACCCGAGCCAAAATTAAGAGTCAGACACTTAACAGACTGAGCTACCCAGGTGCCCCGCTTATGACTTATTTCTGAGTTCTAGCAAAGTACAGAGAATCACTGGCTACCTGGGATATGACAGAAAATATAAACTGAGATATGGCATTATCCCTCTTAGAGCACGTTCAAAACTGCTCCACCTCTGCATACTTCCTTGCCACCCTCCCTTGCCATGCTTACAATAGCTGGACCTATTTGAAACATTATTGCAAAATGTTGGATGGATATTTAAAAGTTTGAACAGCACATAGAAAGATAGCCCAGGTATATACTTCACTCCATTAATTAGAGCAAGGGCTCACTGAGAAAGGGAAATACATCCAAACTTTAGCCCACTGATAGAAGGACCCTAGTTCCCAAGGGAAAGTTTATCAGCTCTTGAAGATACTGGGCTCGTGCTCACATCTGCAGACCAAGCCTTGGGCTGCCAGGAAAATAAGCCAGCTTTGGTCTCAGTCCTTTGGAAACCAGGGCTGGCAGAGTATAAAAGGAGATTTAGGTGTAGGGTTAGATTGTGTATTTGAGACCTTTCTTGTTTCTTAAGAAAAGCTTGTATTGCTATATACTTTCCTCTTAGGACCGCCTTTGCTGCATCCCAAAGATTTTGAACAGTTGTGTTCTCATTTTCATTGGTTTCCATGAATTTTTTTAATTCTTCTTTAATTTCCTGGTTGACCCATTCATTCTTTAGTAGGATATTCTTTAGCGTCCATGTATTTGAGTTCTTTCCGACTTTCCTCTTATGACTGAGTTCTAGTTTCAAAGCATTGTGGTCCGAAAATATGCAGGGAATGATCCCAGTCTTTTGGTACCGGTTGAAACCTGATTTGTGACCTAGGATGTGATCTATTCTGGAGAATGTTCCATGGGCACTAGAGAAGAATGTGTATTCCGTTGCTTTGGGATGGAATGTTCTGAATATATCTGTGAAGTCCATTTGGTCCAGTGTGTCATTTAAAGTCTTTATTTCCTTGTTGATCTTTTGCTTAGATGATCTGTCCATTTCAGTGAGGGGGGTGTTAAAGTTCCCTACTATTATTGTATTGTTGTCAATGTGTTTCTTTGATTTTGTTATTAATTGGCTTATATAATTGGCTGCTACCATGTTAGGGGCAGAGATATATAAAATTGTTAGATCTTCTTGTTGGATAGACTCTTTAAGTAGGATATAGTGTCCTTCCTCATCTCTTATTATAGTCTTTGGTTTAAAATCTAATTTGTCTAATATAAGGAGTGCCACCCCAGCTTTCTTATGATATCTATTAGCATGGTAAATGACTTTCCACCCCCTCACGTTAAATCCGGAGGTGTCTTTGGGTCTAAAATGAGTCTCTTGCAGACAGCATATTGATGGGTCTTGTTTTTTTATTCAATCTGATACCCTGTGTCTTTTGATTGGGGCATTTAGCCCATTTAAATTCAGGGTAACTATTGAAAGATATGAATTTAGTGCCATTGTATTGCCTGTAAGGTGACTGTTAATGTATATTGTCTCTGTTCCTTTCTGGTCTATGTTACTTTTAGTCTATCTCTTTGCTTAGAGGACCCCTTTCAATATTTCTTGGAGGGCTGGTTTGGTATTTGCAAATTCTTTTAGTTTTTGTTTCTCCTGGAAGCTTTTTATCTCTCCTTCTATTTTCAGTGACAGCCTAGCTGGATATAGTATTCTTGGCTGCATATTTTTCTCCTTTAGTGCTCTGAATATATCATGCCAGTCCTTTCTGTCCTGCCAGGTCTCTGTGGATGGGTGTGCTGCCAATCTAATGTTTCTACCGTTGTAGTTCACAGACCTCTTGTCCCAAGCTGCTTTCAGGATTTTCTCTTTTTCTCTGAGACTTGTTTTACTATTAGATGTTGGGATGTTGACCTATTTTTATTGATTCTGAGGGGAGTTCTCTGTGCCTCCTGGATTTTGATGCCTGTTTCCTCCCCCAAATTAGGGAAGTTCTCCGCTATAATTTGTTCCAATATACCTTCTGCCCCTCTCTCTCTTTCTTCTTCTTCTGGGGCCCCAGTTATTCTAATATTGTTTCATCTTATGGTACCACTTATCTCTCAAATTCTCCCCTTGTGATCCAGTAGTTGTTTATCTCTCTTTTTCTCAGCTTCTTTATTCTCCATCATTTGGTCTTCTATATCACTAATTCTCTCTTCCTAGCAGTTAGAGCCTCCATTTTTTTTATTGCACCTCATTAATAGTCTTTTTTATTTTGAGTTGGTTAGAGTTTAGTTCTTTTATTTCTCCAGAAAGGGATTCTCTAGGATCTTCCATGCTTTTTTCAAGCCCAGCTAGTATTTTTATAATCGTCATTTTGTTCAGTTTTTTCTTTCTCTCTTTCTTTATTTATTTGAGAGAGAGAGAGTAAGCAGGAGCAGGGGGAGGGGCAGAGGGAGAAGAAGGCTCCCCGATGAGCAGGGAGCCCAATGAGGGACTCGATCCCAGGACCCTGGGATCATGACGTGAGCTGAAGGCAGATGCTTAACTGACTGAGCCACCCAGGTGCCCTATAATCATCATTTTGAACTCTAGTTCCGACATCTTACTAATGTCTATATTGATTGGGTCCCTGGCAGTCGGTACTGCCTCTTGTTCTTTTTTTTTTGAGGTGAATTTTTCCATTTTGTCATTTTGTCCAGAGAAGAATAGATGCCTAAACCCAGCAGGAGAAGAGAAATAATAAAGATCAGAGCAGAAATCAATGAACTAGAAACCAAAAGAACAATAGAACAAATCAACAAAATGAGGAGCTGGTTCTTTGAAAGAATTAATAAGATTGATAAACCCCTGGCCAGATTTATCAAAAAGAAAAGAGAAAGGACCCAAATAAAGAAAATCATGAATGAAAGAGGAGAGATCACAACCAACACCAAAGAAATACAAACAATTATAAGAACATATTATGAGCAACTCTATGCCAGCAAATTAGATAACCTGGAAGAAATGGATGCATTCCTAGAAATGTATCAACTACCAAAACTGAACCAGGAAGAAATAGAAAACCTGAACAGACGTATAACCACTAAGGAAATTGAAGCAGTCATCAAAAATCTCCCAACAAACAAGAGCCCAGGACCAGATGGCTTCTCAGGGGAATTCAACCAAACATTTAAAGATGAATTAATACCTATTCTTCTGAAACGGTTCCAAAAAATAGAAATGGAAGGAAAACTTCCAAACTCATTTTATGAGGCCAGCATTACCTTGATCCCCAAACCAGACAAAGACCCCATCAAAAAGGAGAATTACGGACCAATATCCCTGATGAACATGGATGTAAAAATTCTCACCAAAATCCTAGCCAATAGGATCCAACAGTACATTAAAAAGATTATTCACCAGGACCAAGTGGGATTTATTCCTGGGCTGCAAGGTTGGTTCAACAACTTCAAATCAATCAATGTGATACAATACATTAATAAAAGAAAGAACAAGAATCATATGATCCTCTCAATAGATGCAGAAAAGCATTTGACAAAGTACACCACCCTTTCTTGATTAAAACTCTTCCCAGTGTAGGGATAGAGGCTACATACCTCAATATCATAAAAGCCATCTATGAAAACCCACAGTGAGTATCCATTCTCAATGGGGAAAAACTGAGAGCTTCCCCCCTGAGGTCAGGAACACAGCAGGGATGTCCACTATCACCACTGCTATTCAACATAGTATTAGAAGTCCTAGCCACAGCAATCAGACAACAAAAAGAAATCAAAGGCATCCAAATCGGGAAAGAAGAAGTCAAATTCTCACTGTTTGCAGATGATATGGTACTTTATGTGGAAAACACAAAAGACTCCACCCCAAAACTGCTAGAACTCATACAGGAATTCAGTAATGTCGCAGGATATAAAATCAACCCATAGAAATCAGTGGCATTTCTATACACCAACAACAAGGCAGAAGAGAGAGAAATTAAGGAGTCGATCCCATTTACAATTGTGCTCAAAACCATAAGATATATCTAGGAATAAATCTAACCAAAGAGGCAAAGAATCTGTACTGAGAAAACTATAAAATACTCATGAAAGAAATTAAGGAAGACACAAAGAGATGGAAAAACATTCCATGCTCATGGATTGGAAGAACAAACATTGTGAAGAGGTCAATGCTACCTAGAGCAATCTACACATTCAATGCAATCCCCATCAAAATACCATCAACGTTTTTCAAAGAAATGGAACAAATAAACCTAAAATTTGTATGGAACCAGAAAAGACTCCGAATAGCCAGAGGAATGTTGAAAAAGAAAAGCAAAGCTGGTGGCATCACAATTCCAGACTTCAAGCTCTATTATAAAGCTGTCATCATCAAGACAGTATGGTACTAGCACAAAAACAGACACATAGATCAATGGAACAGAATAGAGAGTCCAGAAATGGACCCTCAACTCTATGGTCAACTAATCTTTGACAAAGCAGGAAAGAATGTCCAATGGAAAAAAGAGTCTCTTCAACAAATGGTGTTGGGAAAATTGTGCAGCCACATGCAGAAGAATGAAACTGGACCATTTCCTTACACCACACACAAAAATAGACTCCAAATGGATGAAAGACCTAAATGGGAGACAGGAGTCCATCAAAATCCTAAAGGAGAACACAGGCAGCAACCTCTTCGACTTCAGCTGCAGCAACTTCTTCCTAGAAACATCGCCAAAGGCAAGGGAAGCAAGGGCAAAAATGAACTCTTGGGATTTCAAGATAAAAAGCTTTTGCACAGCAAAGGAAATAGCCAACAAAACCAAAAGACAACTGACAGAATGGGAGAAGATATTTGCAAATGACATATCAGATAAAGGGCTAGTATCCAAAACCTATAAAGAACTTATCAAACTCAACACCCAAAGAACAAAGAATTGAATCAAGAAATGGGCAGAAGACATGAATGGACATTTCTGCAAAGAAGATATCTAAATGGCCAACAGACACATGAAAAAGTGCTCAACATCGCTTGGCATCAGGGAAATCCAAATCAAAACCTCAATGAGATACCACCTCACACCAGTCAGAATGGCTAAAATTAACAGGTCAGGAAATGACAGATGTTGCCGGGGATGCAGAAAAGGGGAACTCTCCTACACTGTTGGTGGGAATGCAAGCTGGTGCAGCCACTCTGGAAAACAGAATGAAGGTTCCTCAAAAAGTTGAAAATGGAGCTACCCTATGACCAGCAATTGCACTACTGGGTATTTACCCCAAAGATACAAATGTAGTGATCCGAAGGGGTACATATACTCCAATATTTATAGCAAAATGTCCACAATAGCCAAACTATGGAAAGAGCCCAGATGTCCATCAACAGATGAATGGATAAAGATGTGATACACACACACACACTCACACACACACACACACACACACACACACACACACACTGGAATATTATGCAGCCATCAAAAAAAAAAACCAAAATCTTGCCATTTGGAACAATGTGGATGGAACTAGAGAGTATTATGATAAGCTAAATAAGTCCATCAGAGAAAGACAATTATCATATGATCTCACTGATATGAGGAATTGGAGAAATAAGACAGGATCACAGGGGAAGGGAGGGAAAAAGGAAACAAGATGAAACCAGAGAGGGAGACAAACCATAAGAGACTCTTAATCTCAGGAAACAAACTAAGGGTTGCTGGAGTGGAGGGGGGTGGGAGGGATGGGGTGGCTGGGTGATGGACACTGGGGAGGGTATGTGCTACGGTGAGCGCTGTGAATTGTGTAAGACTGATGAATCACAGACCTGTACCCCTGAAACAAATAATACATTATATGTTAATAAAATATTAAAATGCTAAAAAAGGAGATTTATGCAGCCTCTGATATTAAGTTCATTTAGCTCATGCCTGAAAACAGCAGGGGTTGAATGACTGCAGTACAGACAGAAGCAAAAAGTAGAGATATAAGCCTATTCCCTAAAGAAAAAGAGGAAACCCCAAAAGCTCTTTTGGAAGAAAAAGGAGAGAGAAGTGTGATCCTGGACTTTTTGTGATAAAGGGGAAAATGTCTGCAGAAGTAGATAATAGGAGCTATCTTCTAGCATAATAATTTTAAAAGAGCTTTTGTCAGTCCTTTGCCAAAATTCTGAGCAAAAGAGATGAGGGTCCATTATGCCCCAGATTCTCATTATTCCATTTCTGCTGCAACGTTTGATTTCCAGGACGAAGAGCAAGTCACCATTGAGCAGGATTCTTTAAGAAACAAAGAAGATGAGGAGGATGATCCAGAGACACATCAAAAAGGGTACAGGCTTAAACCAGAGAAGTAACCATACTGACCTCCTATTTGGTTTTGCCACTTTGTTTTATCCTCATCTAATTTTAAACATTTATTATTATCATTTATTATCTATTACCACCACTACCACCAATCCCCTTTCCCTACTACCGACCCAACACCATTTTCAGAAAAATTAATGCTCTATGATAATCACCGTGGTAAATTCAAACTGCTGATGTCTTGGGAACCCAATATCCAAGACAGTCTTCTAATTAAAGGCATAAATTACCAACTAATTGCTCCAGTCCATGCAAAAGTAGTTAATTCATCTTCTCAATGTCAATCAATAAGCAATTGATTTCTCAAAACCCAATCCACATTAAGTCCCAACAAACTTGCTCTTACATTGTAGTATCCTGAAGGTATTCCAAGTCCTTATTGCCCCATGAGGTAAGAGAGGCAAATTGTTTTCTTTATTTTTTGGACGAGAGAAATGAAGCTCAGAGAAGTGACCTACTCAAGGTTAGTCAGCTAGCGAGGAACAAAGCTAATTTAACAATTTCAGCTTCTGATTCTTAGTCCAAGATTGTCTGGTGTGTCATAACACTCAAGTATTTGTCAAGTTTCTGAATGCCCATTTAAATTTTATTTAAATTTCTATGTCTCCGAGGAACTTTGTTTTTATGCATCAGAAGGTATCTCTGGAGTTGGTGAGAATTAGGATTAAAAGCTCTTGTCACAATCCAAAATACTCACTGCCTCAGAAACCTGAGCTTAGTCCCATCTTTCATTTTACTTTATGGATCTCTGACCCCAAGGGCTGAGAAATTCTCTTGGGTGGGCAGAGGTACTCAGGTTTCCCCTAATGTTAATGGGATAGAAGCAATCACCAGGAGGACAGAAGTGGTCTAGTCAAGATAACCAAATGGCTGAAGCCTCTATTTTGAGCTACTTTACTTTATGCAGGGTGAGATTGATGTCTTGGACCACATACATTCTGTGCAATTAAAGAATCTGATGAATCCAACCTAAAGTACATGAATGTGCTCAATTCAATGTTGCCCTCCACCTCTGCCACTTTGAAACACTATCAGAAATTGAAGATGATGGATCATCAACCTTTCCTAAATTCAACCATGAAAACTTAGTCTTTACTGAATTTTTATTTCCTCCATATCTTCTGGATCAGTATTTCTAATTCACTAACAGACATAACACCAAAGTTTTCATAAAGTAAGACTCATCATTACTATGTGTGATATGCTCTCATACATCCTAGTCTTTCTTATTAAAGAAGGGTGTCCCGCACTGTGCTCTTCATAATCCACTGATGGGTCCCAACCCACAGTGGTAGAATACTATTCCAGATAAGCAACACACACTACCACTTCATTTATCTGGTAATTCAACAAATGCCCATCAAGCAGCCTCATCTCCAAGGGTCCTAGTGCAACCAGGCTCACATCTGTTCTCCAGGAAGTTAGCCAGTCAAGACTTCATCACAAAATATGATCAAAGAAGACAGTAGGAGTAAAGCACAGAGGAATGCCTCTGTCCGAGGAGATGCAAGGTGTTGTAGGAGTGAGGGGCTTGGGCTCCATTCTGAAACTTGCAGGGGTTGCCAAGACTTGGACACACAGGAATAGCTGCTGCGAGGTGGAGAAGTGGAGGGGAGGTCCCAGCTCAGGGTTGAGTCCTTTGAGATCCTGGAGATGAGGAATCTCCTCTAGGGACTAGAAATGGCAATGATTAAATGTGTGAATAAATTCCTTCCTCCAGTGGGAGAAGAGGTCTCCATTAGAAGGGGCACTGAGGAAAGAGGTGAGTGCAGGGAAGCCAGATTGCAGGGCAGGAATGGAGGGAACCAGGAGCACTCCAGGAAAAGTAGAGGACAGCCACTGTGTGTATGGCCCTGAGGCCCCTCCAAACTCACTCACTGATGGACACCGTCCTCCCCAGCAGAAGTGATTGGACGCATATATTGTTCACTCACTACCCACCACCCCCTAACAAAGCTCTGGACAGAAACAAAGGCATGCCAACAATGCCAGAACTTTCTGGAAAGCTATATTACAACCTGCTGGCTGGCAGCTCTGAAATCCACAAAATCCTTCTTTATATTTCAAGCACCCAGTGAAGTCTGTCAGTCTCCCACTAAAACATACGGTAAGCCAGCACAGGGAACAACCTGCTTACTCAAACTTTGTGAGACCAGAAGGGTTTCTAAAATCAACATTTCATAACTGTGGCTTAAAAGCTATCAGAGGCCCTCAGAGTCCAGTGAGAAACACTCTCATCTTATGATTTATTTTCGGCTTTTGTTTAGTTACCAGCTCCCTTGCTCTGTTTCCAGAAGCATGTTTTCTGCATTTCTGTAAGCCCTCAGGGCTTGGCACATCTATGCAGCAAAAGTTGATGCAAGCCATGGCTGCTTGTAGTCATAAATGAGATGAGTATCCCATTTCTATTTTGTAGGACATACACTTCGCCAATTTGTTCGTTTGCTTGCTTGATTTACAAAGCCTCATCTAGCTCAGTGTGTCAGTTTATTTCATGTTTTTGATGTTTACTTCTGCCTGCGTTTTTGCTTTTGTGTTGTTACAGGTATCTGGAAAGGAAGTATGATACAGTTTGTGATTTTTATAAGAAACACAAAACCACCCTTTGGTACATCATCTGGGGCATCTTACTACTAGGTAAATAATGAAAGGAAGGATGGATGCCAGTGTCTTTTTTTGAGAATCCCCCAAATATTAGTTTTCTGTAGAAAGAAAATAAATCTTTCTAATCTTTCTGTTCCCCCGGACTTCGGTGAATCCAAAGAAGCAGAGAGGATAATCAAGAAGTCCCAAGTGGTGGGTCTCGACTGGTGTTGCCTATGCAGATTGTTTCCCTGTTCGGTTTATGCAGCCAGCAGCTAATTATTTAGGTTCCCTACTCTTACGGCCTTTGTTTTTGTAATGGATTTAAGGGTTGGTTAATGCAAATCCAGGTAACTAGAAAACATGGTGATACTCACCAGGTGGGAACCTAATTGCAGGGGGCAATCTAAGCAATTCACACTTCATGCAAATACAATGTGAGCAGGAGCCTAGGGTCATGTAGGCTATTCCTCTTGCCTATCTTTGCTGATGAGCAGGTCCCCTCTATTGACTCCCTCCAAAGCAAATGATTCCACAGCCCATTTTGAAGAACACTCCTGTCTATAAAATGTGAACCCTCACACCCAAGTCCACTGATATTAATTGAGGATCACTGCACCTCCAAGGTCAGTGGCTTGGTTGGTGCTCAGATAGCTGAAACAGGGAACAGCAGGGTTGAAAGCTTCCTCTGTACTGGGCCAGCTAGTATTCTAGGCTTTTCAGGCCATGCAGCGAATGCCACACAACTCTGCATTCAGTGGCTTCTTGACTGAACCTCCCCTTGGCTGAGCCATGTCAGTGCTGGAGGCTGGTCGGCAGCTTGGTGCGGGTGATGTTCCATGTCTGTGCTCACTTTCTCAACAGGTTACCTGGCGATGGTGATTGCAGCTTGTGTGCTAAACTTTCAGAGAGCCCTTCCCCTTTTTGTGATCACCGTGGCCGCCATCTTCTTTGTGGTCTGGGATTACTTTATGGCCAAATATGAGCATCGAATCGATGAGTGCCTGTCTCCTGTCAAAAGGCTCCTAAACAGCCATTGGTTCTGGATGAAGTGGTAAATGCACCCAGTCCTCTTGTTGCTTTTGAGAGGGATGTTAGTCTTTTCCAACACTGTTCCAAAAACATATTCTGAAATTGCTCCCTCATTTATGGTCTCTTGAAACTAGAAATAACTGAGTTATAATGCCTGTCATAATGCCTTCATTTTACAAACAGGAAATCAAGGCCTAGATAGGGCAATGACTCATTCAAGATATGTTCAAACGTCCCTACAAACTGCTTTAATTTCAAGTGCCACTAAATGATAAAATGTTGTCCAAATGATGGGACAGTTCTGACTTGGGGAGGCAGCTTTCTGCTCTGGGCCTGAAGCTGGCCTCTCTGAGAGGAAGACCCTGTGAATTATTAAAGCCGCCTCTTTCCTATAGGACCCCATATCCTGTGAGTGACCACTCAGGGCTTTTCCCTCAGCCTCTTTCTGTGGGACCTCCTCTTCCTCCAGGTGGCCCTAGTGGATTGGACACAGGACAGGTTCTCCCCAGAATGGCTCACAGGGGATGTACCAGGAAAGTTCACAAATCCTTGACCTAATAACACAGGATTGTGCAATCCCAACACAGCATGCCTTCTGGCTCTGCCCTCCCAAGCTGTGAGTCAAACTTGTCATGCCTACTGGATCCGCCAAGGAGTCAGAACCCATCCTGAAGTCCAACTTAGCTCTCTGAGGCTCAACTGAAGTCCCCCATCTTCAGAGAACACATTTCAAGTTCTCCCCTAAAGGGAAGAAAAGTAAAATCTCTCCCGTTTCCTAAAACGGAAGTGAGGACTCCCAGCAGATCTCTCAAAGAAATCACCAGACTTCCCTCTCTAAAGCATCCTTTCTCATCTCTGAACCCTTTGGTATGTCCTTGAACCAGCGAAGAGCCCAAGAATTATAGAATGTGCTTAAGGCAGTGCTTAATTTTTTTTTTTTTGGCTATTTGCCTTTATAGCCACAACCAAAGAGGGTCTGTGCAATCTCTAGAAGCATAACTTGCCATGGTATGCTACTCTTAATAAATTTTTTGTTTGCTAGTTTAAGCCTGCTCCAGATTTTCAGGTTAGCACCACAAATGATGCTGATGCCTCCTTTCTGATTCTCTTAGGGTGATTTGGAGCTTACTGATCCTGGGAGTTATTTTGTGGCTGATCTTTGACACTGCCAAATTGGGTCAACAGCAGCTGATTTCCTTCGGTGGGCTCGTAATGTACATTATCCTGATATTTCTATTTTCCAAGTATCCAACCAAAGTAAGTGTGAAATCAATCCATTTCAGCTTTTCCTCTCTTTTTTTCCCCCTCATGTCTAAATTGCATAAAATAATGAGTGTGAGAGAATTCCACTGTTACTCAGTATTTGTCTTACCTTGCTATGCTATATTAAGTGGCTAGGGTGCCTTTCTTCCGGAGCTTTCTTAGTACTAGTACTCTCTCATTTTTCATTCTCAGTAATTTGCCAGTTACACCACCAGTGAGGTGTTCTCTCCTGCCAAGTCCAATTTCTACTCACGTACCCCACCTCGCTCTGTCAAACACACACAAAAAAATTTATCTATTTTGATCCTGGTTTCCCCAGGCCAGTAAATAACCTAGTATTCTACCACTGGACTCTGCAGTTGATCAAATTGCTATTTGCAAGTTAGGTTATTTTACTGCAAAAATCTGTCCTTAAACAGTTTTGTTCCCACTGAATTCAATTCTCATTCTCATTCTGTCAGCCTGTAACCCATTAAATGGGCAAGAATTCGGAGACATCGAAGCTTTCACTCACAACTCAGAATGGCAAACTCCAGAAGATTTTACTGGCTTTCTAAAAGGTTGACCCAAGAAAAACAAGTCACCTAACAGGATCCAAAGTGCTTTCCCATCTCGGGTCAGCATCTTCACTGGTTTCTATGCCTCCGATCCCACAGTTCTTTGCAGCCCACTCATCTCCGCACCAAAAATGAAAGCAGATGATTGTCCATTCCTGCTGCACTCCCTGGCTCTCCATTAGAGTTAATTGGCTCCTTTTACAGTGAAATGAGAGCCCCTCAACAGGGTGGAATTTCACTTAATTCACTTACAAATTGTCAGATTAACAAATCTTGGGCACACAGAGAGAAGCCATGTTCTGCCTTTCCATTTTCCAGACAGAGGAAATAATTATATGTCTCTAACATTTACAGCACAATGAAGAGGACCAGATCCTTCTTCCTTTAATGGCCCCTCTAAGACTATTCTTTGTGTCAAAGTTATTTTATCATGATATAATGGTTACCTACTCTCCAGGGACTGAAGACTTCAAACTCGGGATTTGAAAGAGGGAATGCAGCCCTGAGATCTGGGGTCATGATTCTATCAGGGATTCTCTGCTCACGACTGCTTTGGCCTCCCAAAGAAGGTGGATCATAGGCCACGTGTGAGAAGTTTCCAAGGAAATAGTGACCCTCTGGGTGTGTATGCTGAGCTTAGCATTCATTTTCTAGTAAGTTCTATCTCTTCATCTTTCCACATAGGTTTACTGGAGGCCTGTCTTCTGGGGAATTGGGTTACAGTTTCTTCTCGGTCTCTTAATCCTAAGGACTGACCCTGGATTTATGGCTTTCAATTGGTTGGGCCAACAAGTTCAGGTAAGTTGGGTTCAAATGAACATCTTCCTTATAAGTGCTTCTGACATTTGGATATAATCCTCAAGACATGTCAGAAATAGGTTTCTTCATCTGCATGAGTTGACCCATATTTTTGTTTGTGTAAACATGTTAATCTGTCTAGTTTATTAATATTACAGTTGTCCCTCCCCCATATCATCCACTGCATCACTCCCCTATCCCGACTGTCCCTTTCGTCCTGCCCCAGAGGTGTCACACTTCTAAGATGGTTCCACAAACAGAGAAACAGGCTTTCTTTGTATCGAGTGCTAACTAGCACCACCTGTGTGCCATCTAGGGCTTTGCTGGAACAAACTGACAGACCTGGCTCCTTCTCAAGCATCCTGGAGTCAGACTGAATGTCACAAATGACAAGAAATCTGTATGCGGGTATAGTTCAAAAATATTTTTCCACGCCATCCACTGGAGCAGGGAAGCCTACAAAAATTTACCTGCCATGTCTAACCAGCAAGTTTGCTGGGCTCCCCCTCTGCAGAGCCTGGGAGGTCCTGTGGACTCTAAACACCAACTCCATGGTTGTAATGATCGTCTGTTTTTCCTTTCTTTAACTCAGACCTTCTTGGAATACACTAACGCTGGTGCTGAATTTGTCTTTGGTGAGACATACGCAGACCACTTCTTTGCATTTAAGGTAAAACCAAATCCCCTTTCAAAGTACTTACTTCCTTTTCAGTACCTTCTGTGTCTTTGTAGATATTCTGATAGAAACTGACCAGAAACCAGATATACACTTGCCAGGCATGCCCTAGGTGGATAGCACATCACTCCCTTTTTGCATTTATCGGATTTTATCTGAAGTTAGTACAATGCAAACATTTTACTTTGTTGCCATAGCATGGAGGGAAACATCTAGAGGAAGTCAGAAATATACAAATACTTTTGAGGGGGGCTCCTAGCATTGCCTGAGGTATGTCTGAAAAATCATACGGGACAATAGTATCTGAGGCATCAGGGAAAGGAACATTCGGTAGCTGGCAATGAGGAGGCATATGGACTGATGGCTTCCAGGCCCAGGATCAGTGACAGCTCTGTGCTCAGGGCCCCCTCCATCTCCCAGAAGGAGTCAGCTCTTCATCCACATGAGCCTCTCTTCTTCCAGAGCCATCTCCATGCTACCTTTCCTGTCTTTCCTTCAGCACAGCGGGTCTGGAGGCTGGGCCTTCTCCCAACCAAAGGAGGGACATTATGCTCCGGGGGAAAGGCAAGCTGGCCTCCCTGCACTCCCACAAGCCCCAGGAAGCTCACTTTCCCCCGTGAAGACCCTACAAATACTTGTTGATGAGGCAGAAAAATGAATTCGGCTTTTCCTTCAGCATTCTCTTTTTGTGGTGTTATTGTTCATACACTTCTAACTTGTTTTCTCACTTAGGGACTCTGAATTTACCTCCAAACCACCCCAGCTTCAGCTGGGTCAACGTTTATGCTGAATCTTTTTTTTAATTGCTCTTTTTTTTTTTTTTAAAAAAAAAAAAAACTGCTGATTTGATGCTTTGGTGCCAAGATGACTAAACCAGCTCCAAAAGGTCAAGTGTTTACAAACTGAGATAGAAATATGCTCATATCACGAACTGAACCCAGAACTGGGAAAAAGAAAGTCACAAGGAAGGCATAACTTGCTGCCCAGACTGCACCAGTGTCTTTAGACATTTCCTACCCACCCTCCTCCCTCTTCCCCAGAGCGGGGGGCCTCCATCCTTTCTGGCAAAGCAGAATCCCTGTGGGAACATTCAAGAGATAAGCTCCTTTAATTCCCCGAAGCTTTCAGGAAGGCTCTGCTTGCCCATTAAAGCCAATAAAAGCACATAAGTGACTGAGCTCTGAATAATGGCACAAAATGTCTTTTAATATACATTATTAATAGATTTTTCTAAATTAGATCCTGTACAAATTGTCCTCGGTCATTCTATGCCTCTGGTGGCAGCCTGTCCCTGGTCATTTAGCTGGGGAACAGAGGGGAAGGGTACAGATGGGTAGGGGTGTGGAGGGACCCAGCCCACAGCAATGTGTGTTCCCTGCAGGGTAGAAACTGTTCACTGTGGAAACACAGGCTGCCTCAAAGGCACCCAAATAGCATCAGGGAAACAGGATCCAGAAAAAGACAACTCTGGTATCACAGAAGCAAACTAGTTTCCCAAGTTTATTTATTTATTTTTTTTAGTGATTAAAAACAATCTTTAAGTAAAATAATTATATTTTAAAAGCTAAACGAATGGGTGCTTACTTTATGAGAGGCAGTGTGGGTAAGCACCTACCGTGCCATATCTGATCGGTGCAGCCTCTATAAATAAGGATCTGAGAGGCTCCTCACACTCAGTTTTGACCAGGATCCTCTGCTAATGAGGTTGTTTAATATCAGAACTTCAAGAATATCTGTCAGTGGCCTTCAGTTTGTTGATCTAGTTATTACGAATTCCCCTGACACTGCATTCCTTCTCTGAGAAGCCACAGTAAGAAAAGCTCATCATTTCAGAGAAACAAAAAATGTCAAGTTTCCTATGAAATATACTCAAGTTTATCCAGAGCAAGTTCAAAGGAGAGACGGTAAAGGGGGGGGGGGGGGGGGCGCTGCCTGATTAAAGTGTCATTTAGTTAAAAATGACATCGCTGATGATTTTGATGATGGTTTCGGCGGGGATAAGGAGGCAGAAAAGAGACCTGATCTGAACTCTACTAATCCTACCGAGGCCAACATCAGCCCATGACTGCTTTCATGCCCCCACCTCACCCCCAGGTCCTGCCAATTGTGATTTTCTTCAGCACCGTAATGTCCATGCTCTACTACCTTGGATTGATGCAGTGGATCATTAGAAAGGTACTGGTACTTGGGGCGCCTGGGTGGCTCAGTCAGTTAAGCATCTGCCTTCGGCTCAGGTCATGGTCTTGGGGTCCTGGGATCGAGCCCCGCATCAGGCTCCCTGCTCAGCTGGGAGTCTGCTTCTCCTTCTCCCTTTCTTTCTGCCCCTCCCTCCTGCTTGTGCTTTCTCTCTAATAAATAAATAAAATATTAAAAAAAAGAAAGGTACTGGGACTTGAAGGGATTGGGTGACAGGTGTACAGCAATTATTTCAGGGACAAAGTCTTAAATGCCTTTTATCCGGGTTTTCCCAAAGTGCCTTTCTGTTTGTAGCAAGATTCGTCACCACCTCCTCTTCCACCCCAAGTTATTAGACCCCAACCAAAAAAAAACCTACATGGAGCCCTAGAGGCAATTTTACCTCAGGGACTTCTAACGGGGCTTTGACTCGCAGTCAGTGGTTCCTGGCTATCTTCATAAAACCTTAGTAATTACTTCTTTAACCAAAGAATTGACTCCAGCAAAGCAGGCACCTGTGGGGAGCACAGCATCCTTCCTTCGTCCTGGTTGTCTTCCCTGTGCCTTTTACAGAGTCCCTGCTTCTCCCCGGGACGTTGCAAAAGTGGAGATTCTTGATCTAGGAGTTGCTAGAGGATCGAAGCAAGAAGGGGAAGCTGCTTTGCGTTTCTGAGGGAGTTTGATAAGCATACACAAACTTAGGGGGAGAAAAGGTCCAAAAAGTTCATCTCATTCCTGCCACCCCAGCAACTGTCAGTTCTACTACACTCGTGTTAAATCGGAACATGAGGAAATGTTTGAGTTAGTTCAAATGCACACAAGCCGAGCAGTGCAGACAGAGTTTGGGCATAGCCATAGCCCTCCTTTGATCCCTGTAAATACATACGAGAAAGGGAGGGAGGTAAGAAGGGAGGTAAGGGAGAGAAAGAAACCAGAACACCAGCAAAATTCACAATTTCATCCAAAGTGTGCCAGGGTCCATATTTTTCTGATTGTTGACTTGAACATTCAGCATTCCTGTGCTCACGTCTAAGCAGAAAGGAAGGAGAGAATGCAACAGGAGGTCCCCATCCTGAAGTGGGCACCACAGTCTCTAGTTGGAAGGGCCAGTGCAGAAGTGGGACCATAAACCATGTTCATTTGAGAATTTAGTAAAAAAGGCCAAACCTCAGCTACATCTCACTGCTTATTAGCTGGGTGATCTTAGACAAAATAACTAAATGGTTCTGTGCCTTGGATGCCTTTTCTATAAAATGGCTATGATTATAGGACCTCCCTCAAAGGGTTATTATGATAATTCAATGCGTTACCTGGATCAAGAGCATAAAACTGTTCTTGGAATGCAGTAAAGCTTGTCATGACTGTTAGCAATTATTATAATTTATTACTCTTATACAATGTTTCAATAGACAATTGTTTGTATATTGAATGTATGAATTCAAAGTATATACAATGATTCAGCCTTACCATTCACATAGGAGGACTGGATGGGTCCGCTCTGTAGACTAGGTAACATACACTCACATTTAGCACCATCACTGGCCTGCCCACAGTGGTGGAAGGCATTTTCCTCCAAAGATTTTCATCCCTACTTTGAAGTGTTGTGTATACAAATAGCTCTTCACTGACTTTGTCCCTTTTCCCCTTTTAGGTTGGATGGGTAATGCTCGTTACTATGGGATCATCTCCTATTGAATCCGTAGTTGCTGCTGGCAATATATTTGTTGGACAGGTAAGTTGTAATCTCAAAAAAACAAAACAAAACACCTGTTGAAATGGATATGCTTCCTAGAAAGTAGAATAAGAAATATAATGGTATTATTGTTTTTTAGTGTCAGGGGTAGGGTGTCAAAATAAGGAAACCCCAGCATTGACAATGTCCAGATTCCAGAGAGAGAAAAAGAGTGTACGAGAGAGATCCCTTCCGAGTGTCCCAGCACACTAGTGTCAAATTTGGGTTCTTGAAAGTTCACAGAGAAGAGGAAAGATGGAATCATTCTATCAAAGCACTGGGCTTTTCCTGTATCGATTCTCAACCAGTCTTTTCTGAGTTGACTGAATTGTTGAGGTCTCTGACCCGCCCTCCAGAGGCTAGCAGGTCACCCACTCAAATGGAGTTCACCACTTGTCTTGAAGCTGCGAAGATGTGACAGGCAGCCTCACTTTCCATGGTATAAGGCTTGTGGTAATGAAAGAGGCCAGGAAAGACTTTCCACCAATGCCCCTGCAGCTGTATGAATACTTGAGCTTATTCTCAACTTGTCTGAACTGGCCAATAGTCTGTCTTAGCTGGGCCTGAAGAAAAATGCTGATGAGCAAAAGCATTTTCATCTTTCTGATCCATCATGCAGATAAGTGCTTTGCCTGAAGCCTATTTAAGCAAGGAAATATGATGCCAAGGGGTGTCCTTCAAAACAGCAGTGTTCCTAAGGGGTGGATAGGGAAGAAATGGTAATCATCCTCATCATTCAGAATAGGTAGCTTCAGGCAAAATGGAATCACACACCCAGGAAACAACGTGTGAATTCTTGCCAGCACCACTACCCAAGGAAAGTGGATTTGAAACAAAATTCAAGTCACCCAGAGAAACACACGGCTCCAAATCCAAGGCTTACAACTGCTCCGGGCAGGCTGAGCCTTATTGGTAAGCCCAGCTTGCAAGCCTGGAGTATATAGTCTTTAGGGCAGGGCCCATACTTCCTTCCCTAGGAGTTGAAATTATTATAATTATAGTCATAAAATCTCTCAGGACTAATTAGAACACCATCTCGACGTGATTACTCCTACCTGCGGGGTAAGAGGGCTTATGTACTGAGTTTCTATTTAGTCCATGAAGTGAAGCTCAACACATTCAATCTTATAGAACAATTACAAATAATGAGGGGAAAATTGTAAAATTGCACACATGCTTCTGTGGTGCTCAATTTGATACTTAATATGCTAAAAGTACAGCTATTATTTATGGAGAGCCCCACGTTGCAAGCTGCCTGTCCTCCTTAATGGGATTCGAGCCCTCACAACGACACTCTAATTCCTTTCCACCCGAGGGGAAGAGTGGGGTGTCTGATTCCCAATTAGGAAAGTGCCTGTGGGCACCTGTCCTTGTTACTGCTGGTATTTTTTTATACTTGCATCTCTCTGTCCTTGTGGTGTAAGCGAAGAGGTACATGGTCTGTCAAGAAGAAGCTGGAAGATGGGAAATCACCAGTTCACAAGGCCAGGGCAGCTACTTGGGCAATAGTGTTCCAACCTTAGAAAAGAATACCTGGCCATCAGACTCCAATCCTAAGCTGGTGGGGACCTTATATGAGCTGGCCTTGCAAATTTTGCAAACTTTACACATGACTCCATATGCACACTGACGTAGAGTTCAATGACCCAGACATCGATGGTGTGTGTTCTCAAATGAATATGCATCAGAACCACCTGGAAGGCTTGTTCAAACACGATTGTGGGTCCCATTCCCAGAGTTTCTGAATCAGTAAGTCTGAGAATTTGCACGTCTGTCAAGTTCCCAGGGGATGCTGGTGGAGCTGTCTGTGGTTCACACTTAGAAATACTGCTTTTAAGTCCAACTCTTGGTTTTGGCTCAGCTTGTGATCTCAGGGTGGTGGGACTGAGCCCCGCATCAGGCTCTATGTTTGTTGTGGAGTCTGCTTGAGATTCTCTCTCCCTCTCCCTCTGCCTCTCTTGCTTATGTGTGTGCACTCTCTCTCTCTCTCTCTGGAATAAATAAATAAATCTTTAAAAAGAAGGAAAGAAAAACTGCTTTAGAAAATGGAATCTTGGGGCACCTGGGTGGCTCAGTCAGGTGGGCATACAACTCTTGGTCTCAGCTCAGATCTTTTTTTTTTTTAAGATTTTATTTATTTATTTGACAGAGAGAGAGATAGTGAAAGCAGGAACACAAGCAGGGGGAGTGGGAGAGGGAGAAGCAGGCTTCCCGTGGAGCAGGGAGCCCGATGCGGGGCTCCATCCCAGGACCCTGGGGTCATGACCTGAGCCAAAAGCAGACGCTCAACGACTGAGCCACCCAGGCGCCCCTCAGCTCAGGTCTTGATCTCAGGATTATGAGTTCGAGCCCCTCATTGGGTTCCACTTAAAAAAAAAAAGGAATCTTGAGTAGATTGGCACACCCTCCTAAGATCTACAGGGGAACGTTTAATCTGGTCTCACTTTGTTTCTAGACAGAGTCTCCACTGCTAGTCCGACCATACTTACCACACATCACCAAGTCTGAACTCCACGCAGTCATGACCGCTGGGTTCTCGACCATTGCTGGAAGCGTGTTAGGTGCATACATTTCTTTTGGGGTAAGAATGTTTGAAGATAAATTTATGGAAAATTCAACCTCTTCTTTCTTTGTTGTTGTTATTTCCCTGTCATTTCTTTACCACTGCTGCCGGAGAAGGAGGCCAAAAAAGTCCTTCACGCTTCCTTTGGCATTTGTGTGGAGTGACCCTGAGGAGCTTTGTGGCTTCACTTTTAAATCCCTGACACCTAAATGTGAATTATATCCACCTATGGCAGAATGAAACCATATTATGAGGTTACTTCGGCCAAACATTGAAATATGTAAAACAAAACAAAACAAAAAAAAACCCCACTATTACAGTCACTAGTAAAGGCAGCCAAGACCAGCGGTCAGCAAAGTATGGCTCATGGGTCAAACTAAATGGCTTCCCCTTTTTGGTAACTAAAGTTTTACTGGAAACCAGCTACTTCTACTCATTTATCTATGGTAGCTTTCATGCTACAGAGTTGGGTAGTTGTGGCCTGAAAAAGCCAAAAATGTTTACTCTCTGGCCCTTCACAGAAAAAGTTTTTTGACCTGTGGCTTAGAGCAGCGGTTCTCAAATCTTCCTGCACATTAGAATCATCCAGGAACTTTTACAAACCCTAATGCCCAGGCCCATACCACAGAATAATTAAACCAGAACCTCTTGGGGTGAGACCCAAGCATCACTATTTTTTAAAAAACTCCTCCTGTACATTCTAATGTACAACCCCGTTGGAGAGTGGGTTGTCTGTGGCCCAGGGCTGCAGACCATTGTAACTGATGCTCGTGCCCCCAGCACAGAGCTTATAAGCCACACATATGAGGCAACCCCCAGTGGAGAAATGGAAGAACGCACAGCTGTGAGTTTCATCCCTCCGCTGCATCTGGGCCTTAGAGAGCCAACCAATAGGAAGAGGGAAGAGTAAAAGGGTGACAGAGATCTCAGGAATAGTAGCTTGTCTGGATCCGCAGATGGTCCACTCCGCCACCACCGTAGGAATTCTGCCTACAGAAATGTGCTGCCTGGAATGGGAGTGGGGAGGGAGATGCAGATACTGGCATTCTGAAAATACAGGGAAGAGAATCCTGAAACAAAATAAGGATGTGGGGAGGAAAGGGAAAAGAGTTTAAGTAGGCCCACAGTGAGGGAAACAGAAATCACTTACAGATTAAAGGGACGCTGGATAAATGAATATTATATAAAGACACCACAGATTTCAGGAGAGCGAAAGGAAGACAGAGGGGTGTATCCGCGCCTGCACCCCCAGATATTTCCCCTGTCTAAACTGATGATGTGATGAAATATGGGCTTTAGGGACTATTTAAACATTCAAAAGGTCCACAGAGAGGTAGAGGAATCTGGAAGTTCTTACACAGGATTAATTCTCTTCTGAAATGATTAGATTTTGGTTTGGGGCTTCTCCCCAAAGGATGTGGTCAATTAACACCAATTCCTCCCTTCTCCCTCTGACTCTCAAGGTGATGCCGGCTTGGCTCACTGAGTGCTTCCTAGCCTCCGAAGAAACACTTTTCTGGCATAGGGTTCAATTCTGCCCTTCTCTTCCCTTGTAAGGCTTTTGGGCCATTCATCCTGAACACAACAGAAAAGCCAAACCTCAGTTGACCTTCTTTCTCCTGAAATCACAGGTTCCACCCTCCCACCTGTTAACCGCCTCAGTCATGTCTGCACCTGCGTCATTGGCCGTGGCTAAACTCTTTTGGCCTGAGACAGAAACACCTAAAATAACCCTCAAAAATGCCATGAAAATGGAAAGTGGGTAAGTGGGACACCTAATTCATACAAGCTGGGGAGTTGCCTGGGCGGGGTGGAGCGTCCAAATACAAAGCACAGCAGAAATTTGATCATTGGAGAGCACAGTGAATCACGGTAGTAAGGTGAATTTAATTTCCCAGTGACTATTAGACTTCACGAGACTTCCAAAAAAAAAAAAAATCCCTTTTCGATATTTGAAAAGCTTCCTAAATACTTGAATGTCAATACATTTCCTTAATGGTTCGTTGTAGATATTTCATTTAAAATACAGTATAGTGCTTATTGAGCCCTGATTTATGACCATTAGAGAGCCATGGGACAACCATTTCTGGAAGTCTCTTATATAATAGGGAGAATGTAGGTGTGATAAAGGTATCTTTAACCCCTCATCAATTCATTTTCTTTTGCCCTGTGCAAAAGAAAGAAAAAAAGAGTGAAAAAAATGAAGGGGTTTAGGGTAGTCAAAAGAATCTAATTCAATAACAGAATCCATCAATGAGCATGTTGCTGAGATTTATCCCTTGTTTGTATGTAGGTACAGTCAGTGAAAAGCAAGTTGTCAAAGAATGCATGTATGGAATATGTGTGATTCCACTTACAAAGTTAAGCAAATGTGTAAACCTACACAACATATCATTTAGGCATACACTCACATAGGAAAAATGAAAAGAAAAGAAATGATAAGCAACTTCTAGGGAGCAGGTACCTCTGAGATTGAAGAGAAGATGAGATTAAGGAAGAGGGGGTACTCAAAGGTGACGGTGACATTCCATTTCTTAAATGAGGTGATAGATAGTCAAGCCTTCTTTGAATTATTAGTTCTTACACCATGAATATTTTATAAATATTTTCTGCTAGCTACCTTAATATAATTTTTAAAACCTATAATATTTTTATCATTTCCCAAATTTTTCATTATTGATCCCCCCCAATTAACAGAGTAGCATTAACAGTTAGACACCCATATGCCCATCATCTACACTCAGCAATTATAAATGCCATCCTGATTTCATGGAATTTAGGTATTTTGACCAAGGCATGAGCCTGAGAGTTTGTGTCTCTAACCAATGAGCTCTGATTATGCCATTTCTACATCTGTGATGTCCATCCACTGACAACACCTTGATAATTCTGGAATTGCTGTTTTTTGATAAAGTGATTCAAGGAACTTCCTAGAAGCCGCAACACAGGGAGCATCCTCATCCATCTCCCTGGTGGCAAACATAGCTGTGAATCTGATTGCCTTCCTGTCCCTGTTGTCTTTTGTGAATGCAGCCCTGTCCTGGTTTGGAAACATGTTTGACTACCCACAGCTGAGTTTTGAGGTATAATTCCATCATGTCTCTCCTTATTTTGTTTCTGCCTATCTTTGTTTAAAAATAAAACGGGTTTGTGAATTGCCTTCCCTAACACCTGTAGTCTACTCTTACACAATGCAGTGTATAAGAAACACTTATCATGTTTCTCCCATCTTCCCACCACTGCCCCTCACCACACCCCAGTCTCCTACCACCCTCCAGGAGAGAATGACTGACCTCACACCAGGTATCCATGTCACTTCAAATGATCCAAAGCCAACCTTGACTCCTAATGGATAGAGATGGGCAAGGCAATGTGAGGGGATTTCTATGCTTTAAAGGAGACACAGAGGGGTTGGGAAAAATCTTGTCACAAGGGTTAGGCAGAGGAACTGGAAGCAAATCACCACTCTAATAAAGTATCTGTTTTGGGGTTTTGTAGGTAATATGCTCCTACATCTTCATGCCCTTTTCCTTCATGATGGGAGTAGACTGGCAAGACAGCTTTATGGTTGCCAAACTCATAGGCTATAAGACATTTTTCAATGAATTTGTGGCTTATGAACACCTCTCAAAATTGATCAGTTTAAGGAAGGAGGCTGGACCCAAATTTGTGGATGGTGTGCAGCAATATATGTCGGTGAGTAAATACACTGATTTCAGAATACACTTCTTTATCCCATATATACATTCATCAAATAGTCACTGGTGCTTCTGTGTGCAGGTCAGGCACTTGGGGATACATCAAAGAACAAAACAGAACAAATATCCCTGATCTCATGGAACCATAGTGAACATAGCACCTCATAATTTCCATTATGTTGAATTAATCCGCATGCGTGTGTCTGTGTGTGTGTCAACACAACTAATCCTTACTACTGTGATCGTTTACTTTTGAGAGCTGTGGATCCAAACCTAGAGTCCTATAAGCTGGGACTGGAATCAATCAATCAACAATATTTGCTACATGCCTTCTATGTGCAATGCACCTATGCACTGAGGCCATAGCATTGAACAAATGATGAGGCCGGCCCTCATGGGCTCATTGTCTAATAATCTTGAAGGTCTCTTCATTCCAGCTTTAGAAATTCTATGAACTCTGAGAAACTTCCCAAAGGCAAGATAGTGCCTGGACATCCTAAAGAAATAGGGAGACACAGTTGCTCCTCTCCAAGTGGGTGAGGTAAGAGAAGAGCTTGGGTTATGGTCCGAACTTCTGAAACTATCTCAGCACTTCAGGTCAATAGGCTCCAAGGAGATGTTCATGTCCGCTTGGTCTTGAATGGGATAAGGAACTCAGGTAGAGCCAAGACTTAGGTCATATTTTACAGCCAAGTCTCCAGCTTTTCTTCTCCTGAAAAACAGAATTATCACACACATGGAAACTCTCAGGGAAATGGTGAACATTTTGGACCATGACCATTATTCACTGAAACAAGCCATTTATAATAAATGTCCTAGGCATGTATGTGGCTTAAAAAGGAAAGGGGAGGAAAAGCATGCTGCCCAAGGTTCTAATTAAGATTGCCTACCACTGAACACCACCACCATCTCTCCCAGTCTCCTGAAGACCAAACATGCAAACTTACTCCCATATATTCTACAAATATAACAGCATACTCCAGGAGAGCACTGTTTTGTATTTTATGGTCAGGGGCGTTTGACCCACACATCTGATAACAGTGGCTCTGTAGGTCTCCTGTTTCTCAAATGTTTATTCTTCAACTGGCCATGCGGTGGAGCTTGGCCAAATGTCTTCATTGTTTGGATGCCACCACAAACCAGTTTGCTTCCCTGCCAAAAGTAAACAATGGGCTAAATTAAGTGAATTGCTTTCCATCCCCAACTGCCAGTTGCCAGGAGAAAGTAGTTTTGTTAAAGAGCAAAGCAAGCTCACGATCCTGGCAGTGCTGAGCAGGTTTGTGAACAGTTATTACGAGAATAGACAGAACAGGAGGGCTGACTTGGGTTGGGGGTGAGCCCAACCAGAGGCAGACCCACAGAGGATATTTGGAAACAGGAGCCCAAGAGCTTCTACTACTGTTGAGTCATAATGGCAAAAGCATTTTGTTTTTCCCAATTTCTTACTTCCAGTCGACAAAATGGGGATGAGTCCCTACAATTTTTGTTTACCAACCAACAAGTGGTGGGGGTGTCACAGCGTCTCCCAGAAAAGGCACCACATGACCGAAGCATAAGATCTGGGTCTATGAGGCCAAACCCAGTGTTATCCAGGTCAGAATATGTATGTAGCATGTTGCCCGCAGAATGAGCTCTTCGCTACTCCGTGATCTTTTCTTTCTTAGCATAAAAGTAATACTTGGCATGTTTGTTTGTTTACATTTAATGTATACATACCATGGTCCAGAATTCAAAAGGTATAAAAAGGCAAGAGGGAAAAGTAAGTCATCCTCCCTATTTCTCTGCCACTCAGCTCTTTTTCCTGTACCATTATTAAGCTCTTAACCTTGCTGTTTGCACGTAATAACACATCTCAGATGCCTTTCCCCATCGGTGTCTGTAAAATAGTATTCTCTGGTATGAACATACCATTATGTATTTTAACCAGTCTCTTATTGATGGACACTGTTACCAATTTTCTGCCGTTGGAAGCAGTGCTACGAAGACTGTCCTTATACATATAGCATCTTTGCTCAGGTGCTAGGAGAGCTGTATGATGTAGTATTCATTTCCCAGAGCAGTGGAGCTCTTTCCATCATGTAATCTTGCACATGTATGGGAAAAGGCAAAGCAGTATCATTTCAGCCTCCTTTTCCTCTTATTATAAAACCCTACATGGCCACATCTGTGTAACCCCTTCCTGCAGATCCCCAGAAACAGGAAAGAAATATCTCAAGCACTTTGTGCCATCTCCCTCCCCACGGTCTCTTAATAAGCCTGCCTGTTTTTGAAGCCAATTGAACTAAATGAAAAGCACTAGAGAGAGCAGGGAATGAGGATGAGCTTTTCCAGAAACAGCAGACTGCTCAAATACATGAAATTTTTTTCCTGCCTGCTATATGCACACTGATTGAAAATATCAACAAAGGCATTCTAAGAAAACCATGAAAGAGAAGAGGGGCCTTATAATCAACAAGAAAATTTACCATGGCCACTTGAGTCTTGGATGTGAGCTTTTAAAAAATCCAGTTAGTTGGGGGATAAAAAGGAACCACTACTTTTGAATGTAGTATTTTCCTGGTTTGTTCTTTAAACCAAATCATAGATTTTTCAGGGTTTTGGAAAAGAAAATTATTGCCTCAATTGTGTGGGTGCCTTTGCCAGATTGGGTGAGTTTCTGGTGAACCACAAAGTCTACTAAATCTTCTGAGTGTCCTGTGATCGGTCCCTCAACCTGAGAAAGAATTATCTGGTCTGAGCAACACCTCTTGGCTGTCAGAGTAGAGCCAGAGGGCCATGCTCATCCTTCTACAACTTCACCTCCCATCTTCCTACTGCCCATGAAAGGACTATTACTCATTCTCCCACTGCTAAGCAAGACACCTAATACTCCTATGGGATGGTTAGATCCATGGACCAAAGAAAGGCAAACACACACCACAGCCAGAATGAAAGGAACCCTCTATGATGCCCTATGAGTTTCCTTTTTACTAATATAGTGCCTTTTCACTGAAGTATAATTTATGCACAAAAAAGGCCCTTTTTGGTGTATATACAAGTTGTGACAAATATATCACCTGTGTAACTTCATCCACAGTGAATATATAGACCATGTCTATCACACCTAGAATATTTCTCTCATGGCCAGCTGCAGTCAACAATACCCCTGCCCACTCCCTCATTCCCAGACAGCCTGATCTTTCGTTCATTATCAATTACTTTTGCTTGTAAAATTTCATGCAAATGGACTCACTTAGCGTTCATGTTGTTGCATGCATTAGTTATTTTCCTTCTTACTGCAGAGTAGTATTCTATTTTACAGATATCCATAATTTGTTTATCAATTTGTCTGTCAAAGGACATTTGGGTTGTTTCCAGCTTGTAGCTATTATGAGTATAGCTGCCATAAATACTCACGGACGTACGTTTTTATTTCTCCTGGGAAAACTCCAAAGAGTGTTATTGCTGGCTGATACAGCCTGTATCTATAAACTTGATAAGAAACTGCCAAGTATGTTTGTACTTTATAAACAGGCTGTGTCTCTTTACAGTCCCACCAACAATGTACAAGAATTCCAGTTGCTCCACAGCCTTGTCAACACTTGGTATTGTCCATTTTTTAGCCATTTTCACGGATGTGTAGTGGTATGTTATTGTTTTGATTTGCATTTTCCTGGTGACGAATGATGTTGAACACCTCCTCATGTGCTTGTTGGGCCATTTACATGTCTTTTGTGAAATCTCTTTAGCCATTTTTTATTGGGTGTTTTTCTTCTTATTGTTAAATTATAACAGCTCTTTACACATTCTCAATAAGTCTTTTGTCAAACAAATGTGATGTGAGTAGTTTCTGGGAGCAATCTGATATCCTCAGTAGGCTAGCCATGTGCCTGGCACATTATAGCAAGTGGCCATGAGTATTAGGAGTTATCATTGGGCAGAAAGTAGCATTTGTAGAGGCTAAGACTCCCGATTCCAAATCCTTTGTAGAGAGTCTCTGAATCCACACAGCCCCTTTCCCTCTTTCAAATTCAAGGGGAACTGGGAAAAAAAAAAAGTCTAGGAAGCAACAGGTGTTTGACACCATGCGCTGCACATTTACTTGTCAATATTGATTCCATTGTCATAAAAGGAAGCCTAGTTAGGGTGTCAGATTAACTAAGCTGAGTCACACCATGTTTACCTCTGTGTGTTTATGCTTTTTTGCAGGCTCGTTCTGAGACTATTGCCACCTATGCTCTCTGTGGCTTTGCTAATTTCGGTTCCCTAGGAATAGTGATCGGTGGACTCAGTAAGTGAAAAGAATATTCTTCAACAATGTATGTGACATAAACATACTTTCGATCTCCATCTTGTTCTGTAACAGTATTAGTGTCGGGGTAAAATGTCCTGTGACAGTAGTAAATCCTCTGGGGTCTATTTTTTATCCCTGCTCTGCAATATAGTTTTCCTATGTAACCCAAGCTAACCTTGATGACACATAGGTTTCACGCTGCATGCCAATTCCAGTGGATTTATAATGGCCACCTGGAGAAGGATTCTGAGGCCCAGGGCAGTGGGAAAATGCTGTGATTAATTAGTGATGTCTGCCACAGGCATAGAAGTAGATGGTGATGATGAGTTGTGGATGTTTGGATCTCACCTTGAAATCCATTTGCCTTGCTATGCCCTCCAGACACTGTGGTAAAACTTAGAATAAAACATAGGACTTGCTTCTTCTGTAGAAAATGGAAGCTTCTGGGCGTTCTGGTGTGGACAAATTTCTTCCCTCCCTCCCCTACCAGAGAACTTCTCTAGATGTGGAGCTCATCACAAAGCTCTTGAATCTTGACTTTCCCAGTTAATTTGGAAAAAAAAAAAAAAGAAATGTCACCCACCTGAGATGCCCAGCCCCATAACAATTCTCAGAGGCTGGGAATTTGGGATTCCCAATCAATGACCTCAACATTAATCTCCTATTTCCATGTCTCCCAGCATCCATGGCTCCTTCCAGAAAGCACGATATCGCCTCAGGGGCAATGAGAGCACTGATCGCGGGGACTGTCGCCTGCTTCATGACAGCCTGCATTGCAGGTACTACATGCCCATCTTTTGTGTCCTGTGTCCTGGAGCCCACAGAATGGCAGCTCTCAGGGGGGCCATGCCCCCACCCTGCGGATGCAGCATCTGCTGCTGCCAGAAGTTGAGATGCAGACCTGCTGCTGAGCATATTATAAAGTGAAATGTGCAGAGCATGGTGGAGAAGCTAAGAACAGAAGGAGGGCTCAGTAACGCTGTTAATTAATAAAATGGATGGCACTCTATTTCACTTCCAGGGATACTCTCCAGCACCCCCGTAGACATCAACTGCCATCACGTTTTAGAGAATGCCTTCAACTCCAGTCCACCTGCAAACACAACCAATGTGGTATCTTGTTGTCAAACTCTATTGAACAGGTATTGTATTCTTGAGTCTGACTTCTTCATATCCATTATTAATAAACAAATTAGGCCTAAAGACCCCATCCACTTATTTCTATAACTTTATAACTCTGTGTTCAAAAATAAGAACTTGTGGGGCACCTGGGTGGCTCAGTCAGTTGAGCCTCTGACTCTTGATTTCGGCTCAGGTCATGATCTCAAGGTCATGAGATTGAGCCCCTCATCAGGTTCCTTGCTCAACGGGGAATCTGCTTGTCCCTCTCCCTCTGCCCCTCCCCCCACTCACACTCACACACTCTCCCTCTCTCAAATAAATAAGTCAGTCTTTTAAAAAGAGAAAAATGAGAACTTGTGCAACAATTCTAAACCACCTTTCCACTTGACTTTTCTCAGCTGAGACTAGGAACTATAATACTAGTGAGTGCTGTGCAAACATTTCTTATGCCACCAGCTTTGTGATAGGCCCTTTGCATGAATTAGCTCATTTAAACCTTCCCTGAAACCACCGTATAACTTAAGAACTATTGCTCTTTTTAGTGTTCAATAAAATCGGGCCTTGAGAAGGCTATACCACTGTCCCAAGCAGAATGAATGTAGGCACAATCGAGATACAAAATGGAGGTCTTTCTGCCCAGAGAGTCCATGCCCTTAACTAGTACCCAAGCACTAGGTAGTTGGTACTGTGTCTCTGTCAAGGGCATCAAGCAGTGCAGCTGGCCTGACAACATGGCAATAGTGACAGTGTTGGGCTACACTGCATGAGGGGCCACTAGTGACCCATACTGGCCACTGCCACCCTGTACAGTTTCTATCTGCAAAATCAATATCCCTACCCCGTTTGCCCTTCTTAATGTGCATGTGTTTTATGAGGATTGATTCTTGGTTTATTCTGGAAGAAAGAGGGGGAGTCCTTGAGGCCAGACAGAATTTGAGAGTCAAAACTAATTCTCTGGAGCCTCTGTACTTAACCCACCCTAACCTGAAAGTGAGGGAGGAAATCAGCTTCCCACCCTATGCTATTTTTAATGTGTCTCCTCCTGCTCATCTACTGTTTCTGTCTTCGAAGGCTCAACTAACTGTTTTATTCTGCTTTCCACCAGCACTATTGTCAACGGCCCTGGTGAGGTCATCCCAGGAGGGAACCACAGCTTGCCTTCTTTAAAGGGCTGCTGCATGTTATTGTTGCCACCAATGCTGAACTGCAGCTGGATCTCTAAGGCATTTTGAGTTCAGCTACTTCTCTGATGGAACTCCAGGAACTCTGCTTTGGCAAGGAAAAAACAACAACACCACCATTCTTCATGGGTGGATATTTCCATCATGGAGTCAGCTTTAACTGGGAAGAGGAAAAACAGCAGTGAACTCTTCAGATCTCCAGCATCGTACTCCCCTCCTTCTTCCCTCCCTTCTGTAAACCCTTCCCCACTGAGAACTGCTATGATATCTCAAGATGAGCTATTGTCTCCAGTCCCAAAGATGTTTCCTGACCTTAGAATTTTATGACATTTTACCAGAATGTAGGTCTAAATGATGGCTCACAACAATGGGGTTATGGCTCAGCCACACCCAGAGTGACTCACTACTAAAACATCTCAGGGGAGGTCACTACATTCACCCTGGCTGACCGGAAGTAGCCAGAACTTGAATCTCACATGGACAAGGATCAATCATTTATCACCCACTCATTGCCTGCCCTGAGGAAGTCCTACAGAAATCAAGAGCCCTTTAGAACATTTAGACCATTCTAAAACCAGGTTTTAAATCCTGTATGCCTAGAGAGTTATGCCAGTCATCTTACCCTAAATTTTGCTGCAATAAGAAATAAGCCAAAAACCTTGGTGACTTACAATTTATTTTTCCCTTACACCTTATGCTTATTGAGGGTCAATTTTGGCTGTATTTCATGTTGTCTTCACTTCCAGGACCCAGGCTAAAGAAGCAGCCACTATGTGACGTATGTCGGGAGAGGGGGAGAAAAATGGTAGCTCTCAAAACCTCTGCTAGGAAGGACCCTTCACTTCACTACATTCCATTACCCAAAGCTAAGCATATGATAAGCACAATGTCAATGGCTATGGATGAATTGAGTATTTTGAAGAAATGACATGATATACTACATGGATGCATGATAACCCTGTCTCCCTTCAAGGAGTCAACCTGTCCTATCACAGAAAGCCTACTCATGTGTAAATTTGGTTATGTTTGTGGTGACAGGACTGGAAAATTGTACTACTTTTTGGTCAAAAAGTCACTTAAGGACCTTTTGAGGAAGAAGAGTCCTGGTTGAGATCTGAAACCTTCCACTGATACTTCCATTGTCCAGGAAAGCATCAGCATCAAAGCTGCTTACTGGGTATCAAAACTTCTGAGATTTAATGTGTGTCAAAAGAAAATTCCAGAGACAATGGCAGGGTGCTCTTTAATGAAATGCTCATCACCAATTCTCATAATAGGCCAAAGACCGCATTGTGTGAGAAAACACAAACACCAATGACTGAGTCAAAAGGTGATTCACAAGAAAGAAAAAAATGTGAAAACGGTTTTGGAATGCCTTAAGTAATTTATTTTAGTTATGCTTTTCTTGTTCATGCACAATTTTTTGAAATGTATATGTAAATAGCTGATTTGTGTGTGTGCGTGTGTGTGTGTGTGTGTGTGTGTGTGGCAGCAGAGGTGAAGGATGAAATGCCCAAAGGACCCCTTATTTCTTTTTTTTAAATATTTTTATTTATTTATTTGACAGAGAGAGACACAGTGAGAGAGGGAACACAAGCGGGGTGGGGGAGAGGGAGAACCATGCTTCCCGTTGAGCAGGGAGCCCGATGCGGAGCTCGATCCCAGGACCCTGGGATCACGACCTAAGCCGAAGGCAGATGCTTAACGACTGAGCCACCCAGGTGCCCCATGGACCCCTTATCTCTAAAGTACAATATACTAGGATATTTCTAACTGTTGATCATTTGTATCAAATTTTTCTTGGAATTCATGTGCCCTTTCAGTATTTAGACTTTATTTTAGGAAAGTATATTTACATGTCTTTTCCCTCTGTCCTCTGTGTTCTTTGTGTCAACCTTCATAAAAGCCCGTGACAACAGTACGTCAAGGGTGCCAGTTATTCATATGTTGGTTCTCTTTGGTCTACTGTGGCTATTATCTTTCTAACTCGTTTTTCTCTTTTTAATTATTTGCATTTTTCTATTTTGTTTTATTCCTGAGACTCTAAGAGAATTTCTGTGCTATTTCTAGTGTGCTTCTCTGGCCAATTAATTTTCAAATTCTGTCTGTTGCGATTACTGTTCTTTGGATGTTTGTAGCTCTTCTCTGAGCTCCTTTATTTCAAGGAAAACTTAATAATTACTGTACTGTTTTTTACATTTTTTCTTTTTTCAACTGCAGAAAGTAACCATTTGTAATAAAAAGTGACACACACACACTTTCTTCAAACATATATATAAGAATGTGGAGGATTTGTTGCTTCTACAGAACTAGAATGAGTCTATTTAAATATCACATACAACTTCTTTTCCACTTGGCAACATACCTTGGACATTTCCACCAAGTCATTATATATAGTTCTAACTCTGTCCTTCCCTTCCCACTAGTATGTGTATGTGTTTGTGGGGTGGCGGGCGGGCGGGTATGATTCCACATAAATGAGATAATACATATGCTGGGAGAGGGAGGGAGTTAAACATCGTATATTCTTTCTACTTGCTTCCCTCCTCTTTCCTGTCCCTGGCCCACCACATATAGGTAACCCAGGTTAAATAACCTAACATAGAGCTTTCTGTACTTTTCTTTCATGCAGGGGTCATGTTTTAAACATATCCTATTGAGGATTACTATAGTTGTTTTACCATACTGGGATATTCTGTATGACTCACATTTCTCTGAAGTTTATTTTTCTTCTATAACAATACTTTGTGGATATTCAAGTCCACTGGCAAAACTTTATTTTTTTCAAAAGCTTCATAACAGTCCATGACATATTATGTATATGTATTAACCATTCTTCTAAGGAAAAGCATCCACTTTGGGGGATTTTGTTTTGGTTTTGGCTACTTTGAACAATACCTGCCCACTTACTTCACGCACTAGTGGCTTTATTCTATGGCAGGGCTATCTGACAGAAATATAATGCAAGTCACATGTGATTTAAAATTCTCTAGTCACCACTTTAAAAAAGTAAAAAGAGGGGCGCCTGGGTGGCTCAGTTGTTGGGCGTCTGCCTTCAGCTCAGGAGCCCCACATAGGGCTCCCTGCTCCGTGGGAAGCCTGTTTCTCCCTCTCCCACTCCCCCTGCTTGTGTTCCCTCTCTTGCTGTGTCTCTCTCTGTCAAATAAATAAATAAAATCTTTAAAATAAAATAAAATAAAAAATATAAAAAGAAACTGGTAACATTAATTTTAATAATACGTTTGACCCAATATATCCATGATATTATCATTTCAATGAATTATTTTATATTCTTTTTATTGAACTAAACCTTTAAAATCTAGTATATATTTCATACTTGGAGCATATCTTAAGACACTATATTTTCATCTGCAATACTTGATTTGTATTTAGATTTCATAAAATTTACTGTTGCAAAGTAAATTCACATGCCCAAATTGTTCCAAACACACTGAAAAGCTTTCCAATAACTGAAATGAGTATCAGTTTTTAAATTAAAATTTTAGTTCCTCAGTTGCACATATGAAATAGTTCCATATTTTAATTATTAGTAGCTACTGTATCAGACAGTGCAATTCTATAAGGTGGTTTCCTAGGTGAACTGAAGTGTGTATATTTGGTATTAATATATGTTGCCAGATTGCATCTTGGAGAAATATTGTCTTAATTTTTTAATTTTTTTTAATTTTCTTAATTTTTTTAATTTTTAAATGTTGTCTTAATTTTTACCTGCTTTGTGATACAATCTAATCTTTCCAACATGTTTTATTCATCCACCTCTGTGTGTATATGTGATATTTCTTTTCAAATGCAACATATTCACATAAATCCCATGCTGATTTCTTTTTTAATATTTTCCATCCTTGAACCGAGGAGGGCATATCATTCTTGAGCCATCTGAGAAAGAATAGTAAGGGTACGGACCGGACGAATGAGCTGGTGATCACTTTGGGCTTCTTGCGTCCAGAAACCTTACCAATCCCCTGTGAATGTTGAATGGCTTTGGATGACTGAAAGTTTCCCTCCTCCCAGTGAAACCACTTAGTGGAGTTTTGGGCACATGGTGATGTCTCCACGCTTCTTTAGCAAACATAAAAGCTGGAGGGCCATTTGCTCCCCTCAGTTTATCCTACACCCACCTACCCACAGTCTTCTGAGGTGGCAAAGATGGGGTGTCTGTGTGCTTCCTATATGTTTGTTTAATTGCTGTCTCAGGTCACTCAGTGCTGACAGCATGTTGCTGTGAATCTACGCACCCTGAGCTTGTTTCAAGACAGGGCGGTGACATCTCTTTTGAAGAATTCTGCACTCTTGTCTAGTCTGCCCGGGAAATCTGAAGCCCCCATACTTCTCTCTCTGTCATCTTCACACCAGTACAGTTTCCACTAGTCTGAAGGACGTTTTTTAAACACAGTATTATGGGTCCAGATATGAATGTTTCCTATTTTTAATCAAGATGAAAGTTTGCTTTGCTGCTTCTTATTCTCTTTGTTGTTTTCCACTGCCTTGCAAAAATGGCATTTCTGTCACCAATCCAGAAGCAATGATTATAAACAAATTCTCTGACCCTGCAGAGGCCTTATGGTCTCAGCAAAGAATAGACTATAGTCCTGGGGTATGGAGAATTTACTTTGATTTTTTTTTTTATTTATTTCATTAGTAAAACCGGCACACCCAAGCAGTTAGATCTGAGTGAGAAAATCCCTCTAACTATACAGATTACCAACAATCATTCATTTTGCAAGTGCTCCCAAATAATTGTTTTAATATTTCTGTAGTTTAATTAGGCCGGTAGGCCCCTGTGAAGATCTTAAGGTGTGCACTTGCCCAGTGAAGCTGACTTACAATTACAGAACAATTCCCAAACCAGGCATGCTTGTAAAGAAGGTATTGAAGGACACAGTGTGCCAGGAAGGATTAAACTACCCTCCATGTACAGGAAGCAGGGATGGGGGAGGCAATCATTCACATTTTAAACAGGCAGGAGCACAGGACTTAAGAAGAAATGTCTGGTCCATGTGCACCATACGGTGCTAATGAACCAGATGGTC